GTGAATTATATATTATGTTAGAGGTTGTAGATAATATCATAGTCCTGCCAATTTCACGCATGCAAGTTTGGCTTATGTATAAATAATACATATTAATATTGTCTTAGAAATAGTCAGAAACGTCATATGGAACTACAACACTGTCACAATGCAGTATCAAATACCTTGTATTTGTTTTTTTAGGTTTGCACCTCATTATCGTTCATACAATTAAATTGCAATAATAGTAGGAGAAAGTATTTCAAGACAGTCTTAATTAGTTTTATATTGTATTCAAACCACACGGTCGCTTCAGTGTTAATTACACTTTTGTAACATTGTCTATAATATTACCTTAAGACATGTTTGTTTGTTTCCAGTGGTACACTTTGAGAGTAAAGGAACCCGATCACGATCTTCCACGTGTATCAATAAAGAACAGTTTCATCTATCTTCTAGGCCCATTGGCCAATACCGTTTTATGTGTTTTCATGTTATCTCTCTATTGCCTATACACATGGATGAAATTGATTTCAAATATATGTTCCTCCACATTTCTCCCAGCTTCACTAATGCAAATTGCACATTGGTAGGATTTTGTAGAATGCATTGTGTATGAGCCAATTTTAATCATTTGTTTTAAGGAGACTACATTTCACGTATGACTTATGCTTTCAGATTTGCTTAGTGTGTCCTGGCATCCAGTGTGTATATATATTCATATGCCACATTCAGCTGTTCATGCCGTTTAGCATTCCATCTAGTACATGTGTTGAGGGGGAGTGATCGTCACAAATTGTGAATAATTTTGTCAGTCTTTTGAAAGTCATCCTGTAAAATTTGTAATAAAATTCGTGAGAACCAGTGTCGATTTGATTTGTGTTTTCATTGATTTAAATCATTTAGTAAAAAAATGAAATCCATTTTATAGCATGCGATTAAACTTTTATTATTGAGTTATCATGGGTAACAGCCGCATTTGGATATTGTGCCAAGCTGTGTCTTCGATCGGAAATATATTTGTACATTTGGTGGTCCTGAGTGCTTGTAATAGAGAAATGTAGCCGAAGGACATCCTGTCATAAACACAGGACATTCACTAGTCATAAAAGTCATGAAAGCTACGGAACACTAGAAAACACAGGCATTGGGACACAGCCACAAACACAGGACACAGTCATAGACACAGGGTCTCAGTTATAGACACTGGACACTTAGTCATAGACACTGGACTCTTAGTCATAGACACTGTACGCTTAGTCATTGACACAAGACACTTAGTCATTGACACAAGACACTTAGTCATAGACACAGGACATCCACTAATCATACAACATTCAGTCAAAGCTACGGAACACTAGAAAACACAGGCATTGGAACACTCAGCCACAAACACAGGACACAGTCATAGACACAGGTTCTTAGTCATAGACACTGGACACTTAGTCACAAACACTGGACACTTAGTCACAGACACTGGACACTTAGTCACAGACACTGGACGCTTAGTCATAGACACTTGACGCATAGTCATTGACACAAGACACTCAGTCATAGACACAAGACACTCATATAGAAACAGGACACTTAGCCATAGACACAGGACATCCACTAATCATACAACATTCAGTGAAAGCTACGGAACACTAGAAAACACAGGCATTGGGACACACAGCCACAAACACAGGACACAGTCATAGACACAGGGTCTCAGTTATAGGCACTGGACACTTAGTCATGAACACAAGACGCTCAGATATAGACACAGGACACTCAGATGTAGACACAGGACACACAGCCATAGACTCAGGACACACATCCACAAACACAGGACACAGTCATAGACACAGGGTCTCAGTTATAGACACTGGACACTTAGTCATAGACACTGGACGCTTAGTCATAGACACTTGACGCTTAGTCATTGACACAAGACACTCAGTCATAGACACTGGACACTCAGTAATAGACACAAGACACTCATATAGAAACAGGACACTTAGTCATAGACACAGGACACTCAGTCATAGACACTTGGCACTCAGTCACAGACACTGGACGCTCAGTCATGAACACAAGACACTCAGATATAGACACAGGACACTCAGATGTAGACACAGGACACACAGCCATAGACTCAGGACACACAGCCACAAACACAGGACACAGTCATAGACACAGGGTCTCAGTTATAGACACAAGACACTCGGTCATAGACACAATAGACTCAGTCAAAGACACTGGACACTTAGTCATAGACACAGGACACTCAGTCATAGACACAGGACACTCATATATAGACACAGGACACACAGCCATAGACACAGGACACTTAGTCATAGTCACAGGTTACTCAGTCATAGACACAGGACACTCAGATATAGACACAGGAGACTCAGATATAGACACAGGACACTTAGTCATAGACACAGGACACTCAGATATAGACACAGGAGACTCAGATATAGACACAGGACACACAGCCATAGACACAGGACACTTAGTCATAGACACAGGACACTCAGTCATAGACACAGGACACTCAGTCATAGACACAGGACACTCAGATATAGACACAGGACACACAGCCATGAACACAGGACACTTAGTCATAGACACAGGACACTTAGTCATAGACACAGGACACTCAGATATAGACACAGGAGACTCAGATATAGCACAGGACACACAGCCATAAACACAGGACACACAGCCATAGACACAACACACTCAGTCATAGACACAGGACACTTAGTCAAAGACACAGGACACACAGCCATAGACACATGTCACTCAGTCATAGACACAGGACACACAGCCTTAGACACAACACGCAGTCATAGACACATGTCACTCAGTCATAGACACAGGACACTCAGTCATAGACAAATGTCACTCAGTCATAGACACATGTCACTCAGTCATAGACACAGGACACTTAGTCAAAGACACATGACACTTAGTCATAGACACAGGTCTCTTAGTCATAGACACAGGACATCCACTAATCATAGAACATTCAGTCAAAGCTACGGAACACTAGAAAACACAGGCTTGGGACACACAGCCACAAACACAGGACACAGTCATAGACACAGGGTCTCAGTAACAGACACTGGACACTTAGTCATAAACACAAGACGCCCATATATAGACACAGGACACTCAGATGTAGACACAGGACACACAGCCATAAACTCAGGACACTCAGTCATAGACTCAGGACACTCAGTCATAGACACGGGACACTTAGTCATAGACACAGGACACTCAGATATAGACACAAGACACACAGTCATAGACACATGTCACTCAGTCATAGACACAGGACACTCAGTCAATGACAAAAGACACTTAGTCATAGACACATGCCACTCAGTCATAGACACAGGACACTTAGTCATAGACACAGGTTACTCAGTCATAGACACAGGAGACTCAGATATAGACACAGGACACACAGCCATAGACACAGGACACTCAGTCATAGACACATGACACTTAGTCAAAGACACAGGACACTTAAACATAGACACTGGACACTCAGTCATAGACACAGGACACTTAGTCATAGACACAACACACTCAGTCATAGACACAGGACACACAGCCATAGACACAGGACACTCAAACATAGACACATGCCACTCAGTCATAGACACAGGACACTTAGTCAAAGACACAGGACACTCAGTCATAGACACAGGACACTCAGTCATAGACACAGGACACACAGTCATAGACGCTGGACGCCTAGTCATAGACACATGACACACAGACATACATCAAGGACACTTGATCAAAGACATAGTTCGTTTTCAAAGTAAACCCATTCGTAAGGTTATATGATTGTTTATTGATGCCGTTAACGTCACACACACGCTTTATGTAGTCCAGTGCACATCAATACATCTTCGACGTAACCATGACAGTGTTGTCATGAATAAGGATGTCAAGGCTGAGCCATGAACATCTCACATCTGTATCTTTATTTCATATTTCAGTACAGATGAACTCTGTAGTAAAAGTATGTATCAAATCCCAAAGATTTACACCTTTTAACCCTTGAGACAAATACATACTTAATTATAAAAGAATATTTGGATTTCATTTCTCACTATGTATTTACATGAAAGTTTACCCTTGTACAGTAAACTACGGTTATAACGAACTCAAAAGGACCACTAATTTTATTTCGTAATAACCGTAGTTCGTTATAAGGATATATACAGCATATGTACAGCAAATGGCCGGGACTGAAGATGAGTTCGTTATATCAGTCAGTTCGTTATAAACGTAGTTTACTTTATATACCTACACCACATGCACCTCTAGTTACCAGTGTGATGCATGTGTGAGCAAATATGTAAATATATTTAGGTCTTGTCCTCCATTCCCAACCTGCCCAGACATTCCAACCCATGCCATTGGAGCACACCAGGAAACGCGCAGTGGGCACGTTGGCTGTAACGCCGCTGTGAACAGTGTATCCGTTATATCATGGCGTGTCAGCTTCATGTTGCAAGAAATCCCGAAGTGCTGCATGTCTTTACAACTTTGGTGAAACCCACAGGACGGTCATGGTGCTGAAAATTCCAGGGAACATAATCAAAGCTAACCTGGAATCGAACCCACGATCATAGGTTTCTGGCTAGCATAAGACGCGCAACTCTGCATACGTACATTTGTACTGCGGCGCTTTCAACGACTGGGTCGACGCGAGCCCCATGTTGCGCAATGAACACCAATTGATACCAGCATACATCCTCGTTAAAACTAGTATTGTCGTTGTTGAAATGCCCTACACAACAGCACCAAGTATTCTTTTCGCCGTCACTTCAATACAGACAATTTGTCCGTCGTTATTCCCCACTCGCTTTGAACGAAATGCTTGAGATTATCAAATTACAGCTCACTGACTCCGAACACCGATCACATTAACAGTCCGTTGATATTTCGAGTGTAACCATTTTTGAAGCCGACTGATGTTTTCCTTTGAATAATAACATGATAATTGACGTTTGATCTTTTATTCAGATTTTTGTACAAAATGTACCGGACGAGTGTTATTGATAAGTAAGATGACTGTCTTCTCTATGTGCCAACTCGAGGACATTCGTAAGCCATGCTCGGGGTGCCATTTGCCAACCTAAAAACATCAACACGTATCATTTAGAATGGGTGAGTTGGTTTAAACGCCGCTTTGAATAGTATTTCAGAGATATACGTCGTCCGTTTATTTTGGAATGTTATGTTTTTGTATCGTCTTTGTGAAACGGACCCTGGTAACTATAAACATGTCATCGATTAAGCTTAGTGATGGTCGACTTTGAATTGGGTAATACGTCATAGTTCCCCGACGTTTTCTTTTTTATCATTTGTACAAGCTAAACTACCACCAAAATGTAGAACAGGGGGATAAAACAGGATCTATTGAAGATTTAGTTTGTGTGTCGAATGCCGCATTGCAATTTGACCATTTAAATCGTTTTTTCTCTTAGGTGAGGTGAAGTGAAATGTGGTTAACGTTGGTTTCAAGATTATTGCACTTACAAAGCGACGTGTGTGTGTGTTTGGTGTGTGAGTGTGTGTGTGTGTGTGTGTGTGTGTGTGTGTGTGTGTGTGTGTGTGTGTGTGTGTGTGTGTGTGTGTGTGTGTGTGCTTGCGTGAGTGTGTGTATGTGTGTGTGTGTGCGTGTATGTGTGTGTATGTGTGTTTGGTGTGTGTGTGTGTGTGTGTGTGTGTGTGTGTGTGTGTGTGTGTGTGTGTGTGTGTGTGCTTGCGTGAGTGTGTGTATGTGTGTGTGTCTCTGTTTGTGTGTGTGTGTGTGTGTGTGTGTGTGTGTGTGTGTGTGTGTGTGTGTGTGTGTGTGTGTGTGTGTGTGTGTGTGTGTGTGTGTGTGTGTGTGTGTGTTCTTGTACAAACCCGGTTTTAAAGTGCTAGCCCACTGAGTAACCATGCGGCAGTTTAACATTGATACCCCACTAACTAAATACGATCTGACCAGTCCTTGTTTTTGCCCCTTAAATCCGAGCGCCAGGGCATGGTAACAGGAATTAGCCTCTTTAAAATTATTTTTGTATGACGCGGCCGGGAGATCGAATCACCAACCTTCTGTTCTCTGGGCAGACGCTCTGTCCACTACACCACAAAAGCGTTTTTTCTCTTATAGTGAGAAAGTGAGTATGGTTTTACGCCGCTTTTAGCAATATTCCAGCAACATCACGGCGGGGGACACCAGAAATGGGCTTCACTCATTGTACACATGTCAGGAATCGAACCCAGGTCTTCGGCGTGACGAGCGAACGCTTTAACCACTAGCCTACCCGACCGCCAATTTTCTCTTCTAGCATACATGTAGAAATGATGGAGGTGATGAGGAATGATACTATTGTATTACCCTTTTGTTTGCTTCACCACTTGTAGATTCAAATATTTCCAAGGCAAAGTTGTTCCTTTTTCCATTTTCATCAAAGGTAACCCTGCCGGTCTGACCTTCAAACTGAACCTGGAAGTACGTACAAACATCGATCAGGTGATACTCCGTTTATAGCGAGGGGACTGAGATGTTCTGCACTTAACTTGGACCCAACAACGGCCAGATACCGGTACCCACTGAAGACTTGAATATATCCACCTTCAGAAACAATTGACAAATTACTGACAAAGACAAAAGTGTAACCTGCAGTTTCCAACGTTCATCCACTCCATACTATGGCCAAGTCCACTGAGAAATATGGGGTCAGTTGGAATGTGCATGCAGAGAACAAAATAAATGTGTTCAAGTGATAGCCTTGACGTGTGCCTGTGAATGCCTACAGATATCATAATATGTGCACGGAATATAAACCATACTTAATAATCTGAATTATGGTTGCTGCGATACCGGAACTCGACAAGTTACCGCAATAAACTTCACATATAATGTGCTCCCTACTCTTCACCCCTGGAAATGATCTCAAAGTAATAGAAAGAGTTCATGAGGAAATCCGTACATCAGGTTGATGGGAGTTTGATATGTATCAGACGTGCCTACCGGCACTGTAGATGTGGTGGAGATATCAGTACACTACAACATAAAATTTTGTGTATAACGTGAAACGTTTGTGTAATAACGTCTACCGGAAGACCATAACTTTCCAACAGTGAACCTCCAAAATATACCACAACTTCAGTCAGTTACTGTGATCAAGTACAAAATGTACCTCATTTTCCGATCCTCAAATTAAATCTTTCCTTTACTTTGAAGATTGTACATGGAAAACAAAAGTGCGAAAATTATGATCTAATGCCTACCAATTGGTGATGTCCAAAAGAAATAATCAAAGATTGGTCGTAAGGTCCAAACGGCTAAGCAATTGAATGCAATTTTCATTAATCCAACACAAATGATTTTGTCCCAACTCTCAAGTTCTCAACAACCTCCAAGAAGGTCTATTCTCTACAAACTTAGTACATCAAGCAGTAAAAGTGACAAACGTGAGGCCAGTGTCTATTTTTATAAGTTTGTTTGTTTATTATTTAACGTCGCACTCAGCAATATTCCAGCTAAATGACGGCGGTCTGTCAATAATCCAGTGACATCATGAGCATATATCCACGCAAATGGGATACGATGACATGCATCAACAAAGTCATTGAGCCTGACCACCCGATCCGGTAAGTAACCTTTTACGGCAAGCATGGGTTGCTGCAGACCTATTCTACCCCGGATCTTCACGGTAAGTAATAGTGTTTGTTTGGTTTGATCCAGGTTTTACTGAACTAACGGTAGTATAATGGCATCAAGCTACCCCATCAACCTGGTATCATCACAATGGGATAGTGATTCATAAGCATGCATATGATTCAGTCGACATTGTACGACGGACGCTAGTGATTACGGAAATATTTTGTCGCTTTTTTTGACAGGTTGTTTGTTCTATACACACATGCAGATTGATCATATTGATCAATTATGCCGCATAATCCATATCATCATAATTATAATCATCATTTTTCAACTATCAATTACTGTATCAGATACCTGTGACATGTCATTTGTTCTGAAATATTTTCCAGTCGTACAAACCTGTCTTAGGTGTTCCATAAGGATCTGTCCATGGGTAGTTTTGTCCACAACGAAGTTTGTACATTTTACTTGATTGTCTAACTGTTTGCTTCTCTCCATCAACCATCCGGGACTGACTTTCTCCACCTCCTCCACTGCCGTCCTCACAACGTCTACAGCATCGACCAACAATGCTTCAGTGCTCTGGAAGTGGGAGGAATATTCACAAATGACATTGAACGTACACTATACGGGAATGTGTGAGTTGTTTCAAGGCCGCTTTTAACAGTACTTCATTGAAGTGATAAACTTCCAGACGTTAACTCCTTTGATAAAACCCAGGCCAAAATGATATTCAGGACGAAGCCGGGACTCGAACGCAAGGTCAGAGGCTCCTGGAACCCCTAAGGGACGTAATTAATTGTACACGAAATAATAACTAGAGGTTGTTATGCAGTAGTAAATCAGTAAATACATATCAGTCAGCTTCAGATAAAAAATAGATTTAATGTACGAATAGGTTTTACGTATATGCATAGAGTACATGTTTGATTTTTTGTTTGTTTGGTGTTGGTTTGTTGCTTAACGCCACATTCAACAATATTCCAGCTATATGACGGCGCATGCAAACAACTGAGTTGGTCCAAGACAAACCAGTGATTGATATTATGAACAACGCCCGACGTCATCAGAGTATGACATGCAGTCAATCCAGTCACTAACAGGTGCAGTGGTTCTTCTAACCCTTCAAGCACGTCACCAATACGAAAATACACGCCTGGTCACTAAATCGATATGCAAGTATTTTAGTTACATTCAGAACACAATCCAACAAGACGGTATAACTGTGAGTGAGTGAGTGAGTATGGTTTTACGCCGCTTTTAGCAATATTCCAGCAATATCACGGCGGGGGACACCAGAAATGGGCTTCATACATTGTACCCATGTCGGGAATCGAACCCGGGTCTTCGGCGTGACGAGCAAACGCTTTAACCACTAGGCTACCCGACCGCCCCCGGTATAACTGTGAAGGTTTACAGTCGGATATGATATTGTAACATGCTGCTCAGATCTTGTTTGTATTTTTATTATCCTCGTCAGAAAATTGTGTTCCTAAGTATCGCCATGATACCAGCAGTTGTCACGTGTTCTCACCTTCATCACGTCTGTGAAGACTGAGTCATGTAGACCTATCACGTGATCTGCTGATCCGTCAGAAACCAATTGGAACCCCGATATGTTGGTAGCGGACAGGTCTGTGTTGGAAGAAGACACCGGTACCAAATCCTACAAAAGACCACACCCTACAAAATCAGGTTTAAAGTTACATATCTTGTCTTCCATATCGAAATCCAAACTCGGCAAACATTTCAGCGAAATATTTTCGGTCTTGGGGAATTGAAGATCATTCCCGTCCCGGAATCCCCACAGACGTTAGTTAGTTAGTTAGTTAGTTAGTTAGTTAGTTAGTTAGTTAGTTAGTTAGTTAGTTAGTTAGTTAGTTAGTTAGTTAGTTAGTTAGTTAGTTAGTTAGTTAGAATGATTACTCAGTAATCAGTATCATTACTGCTGTATCCCAACGGCCTTGAGTAATCAATACAGAAATAAAAGAGACAAAAAAAAATTTCCATAACAATCAGAAATATCTGCCAAAGTACGATTCCGACTATATCATGAGCATGTGTTTATGAATCACTAATAGTATTAAATAGTGATGACACAAGGTGTCCGTATTTTTTTTCCCCGGTGGCACCCGTCACATACACATGAAAAGGCAGATCAAGACAGACAATCCAGTGACTGATAGCATTAGCACCGACCAACGTACTTTGGAACGTTATCAGTCAGTTGTAACCACCAGATCACCATGTATCGCACTGGCCCTTTTGCTCTGGAATCCCTTTTTAAATATTCCAAACACATTACTGCGGAAAAAATAAAAATTAGGCTGCACACATTGTACACATTTGGGAACCGGACTTTCGGAGTGACAATCTCCCTATGGTATTCGATAAGACAAACTAATAGCTATCTGTTGAAATGCATAACTTCATGTACTGGTATTCTGGTTTCATGAATATTGTGTTATAGTTTAAACCACTGGTGATTGCTATTTAATGCGACATTCACTTACCAAGGCAACGGCTATAATATTCAGATCAATCCCGGACAAGACGTGTTCTTTCTTCTGCAAACAATATCATTATAGAATGTAAAGAAGTCATCCACAGCCCATAACATGCATAAATAACACAACAAACTTGTCATCAAAGCAACAGTTTATGGCTGATGACACATTGTCATGCCCATCTTCCAAGTAGACCCTTTGATAATAAGTAGATTAACCTTCAAATCAAATAGTCTCAATTCTCTATGTCTAACATACGGACTTTGAAGTCACGGAAGTATTTATCCTGAATGTCAACCAGGGCTTTGATATGTAAATCGGCTACTTCGGCTAAAGGTTTCTTTATTGTAGTTACACATACATACATAATTACAGAGAGAGAGAGAGACAGAGAGACAGAGAGACAGAGACAGAGACAGAGAGACACACACAAACCAAACCCAACAGTGCTTTAGTGAAGAGTGACGGGGTCGACAAGGCCGTAATTCTAGACAATACATGCCATTATATGGACGCCAGGTCAACAAGGTGACCTTTTCATTATTATTCATCTTCAATATAATCAAGGGACAGCTTTAGTTTACATCAATCAATAAATGAAATAGAGCATGAAACTATATGTTCATTAAAATAAAAGAATTCCGTAATTTTCTCTTTTGTCATATTGGTTGCCAATGACGCCGCAGCTCGTTGCGTATCAATAGTCCTGGTCTAGGATTACCTGCACCCTACCCCTGCTGTTGCAATTGAAAAATCTACGAAAATCGTCTATTTATGTTTTCATGCCATATCACACTGACATGCCATGACATAAATGAGACCCGTGAAGATCCGGGGTAGAATACCAATTGCACGGATCAATGTTTATGTTGTCGATCACTGGATTGTCTGGTCCAGACTCGATTATTTAAAGACCGCCGTCATATGGCAGGAATATTGCTGAGTGCGGCGTTAAACAACAAACCAACCAACCAACCAACAATAATGACTGTAGGCCTATGTCCATGGCCTATGATGATTTTTCACCATTTTAGACCTCTTGGGTAAAAATATTGTTCACTGTATATCATAAGCATGTAGTTATGTAAAACATGCTTCCAGGAAACGTTTAAAAATCACCCTTCAAACACATGTCAGCCTTACGTAAACATTTATTGTAATAAATGCAAGCGTTAAAACGAACAAGTGAAGCTGTCGCGTATATAGATAACAATAACACATCCGATAACGTTGCTCGCTAGCTGAATGTATATACTATCTTACCAAATAGCGAATGACACCAAGGACATCGAGTTGTTCTAGGTCCATGATGTAAAACACCTTCTGACTGGTGTCTCCTTTGGTCATGTGGTCAACTCCAGCGGGAGCACCCATGCCGTCTTTGGCCACAGGAAGTGAGTTTATCCTCCTTACATCAAGATCTATTAGTAAGTCCCTCGTGTTCAAGGACTGGAACAGATCCTGGATCCGCATTAAACCTACAAATGAAACGAGTTTGATGCATGAACCAACGTGTAGAACGTGGTCAACCATCTTGAAGCTCACATTCATAACTTCCTTAAGCCTTTCTTGTTATTAGCTGGTTTATACTTGACAAGATAATCAAACCTGACTGTTTGACTGTGACTGGATCTGTTTTTGATATTCCTAGTGATGGCCTTTTCGAAGGCACCCGGTGTCATCACTGATTTTCAGTAAAACATTCATATAATGTTCACCCCTATTTAACCTTTTACACCCACTGGAATCTGTTTCGGTAGATTTGTCAGCACCATACCCGTGCTCGTGGGTTTCACCGATGTGGTAAACGTCTGAGACCTGCATCACTTCGGGCTTTCCTCCCACATTAAGCTGACACGCCGCGATATAACTGGAATGTTGTTAAAAGCGGCGTTAAACCCAACTCACTCACTCACTCATTGTTTCGGTAGATAATCGAGACTGATTATTATCTGGCGTGCATGACGTTTAATATTTACGCGCTTATGTTTATAATACACTCTTTGGTTGATTTCCGCTGAAACTGAAGACAGCTAGTTCCAGTACTCATCCGGTCCATAACCTGGTTGATATAATGAGCACTATCTGAAGTCATCGGTGTACGATGACATGCAATCAACAACGTCTCTAGACTGTTGGGGAACCATTCTAGCCGCACTCCCTACGGGGTAAGGTAGAGACATTTACAAGGCCGTCGTGTGTTTAGCTGTTGTAGCCATGATCGCACCGTAAATCGAGATTAACGCACTCTCTTTATTAAAACCATTTTGAAAAAACGCATTTTGAAAAACACATTATGTTCAAGATGATGAAAATGCACATTTCTATTTATTCTCTCCTGATAAGTAATCCTTATAGAGATGTAGCACATGTTATTTTTGGTATCACACTTTCTTAGTAAAGTACAGATTCTAGTACTTTTAGGGGGTTGAGTCCCATTCGGGATTCGAACCCACACTCGCCTGCACACAACGTCGGAGATCCATCCCACCAAGGCACAAAAAATGAAAGTCCGATTACTGGTAGTCTAGATCACGTACTTTGTGTACCCCTCTGACAAGTGCAAATTGGCACGGCTGCCATGGCCGAAACCTATGCATACACAATGTCATTTAGAAATTGATCAAATGTAACAAATGTTATATTTGGAATAACACTTTCTTAGTAAAGATACAGATTCTAGTTCTTCAAGGATCAAATATTATACGTAAACACCAGGAAATATGCAGTATCGATTTTCTGCCGAACTGGATTTCATTGGGCGTAAAATGCAAAATAGTGGTGAAAATTATATGAATGGATCACTGAGAATCAGTAATAACACCTGGTGTTCGCGAAAAGGGTAATCCTATCCCGCTCTACCCGTAGCACCCGCCACTCAAACTATTTGCATTAATATGTAAGTGTTACACTCGGTGCCAAATTAGTTTTTCGAAATACAATTCAATGAGGGGCTGCGAAATATTCGGCTGAAGTACTCACACAAAATTTGAATATAAAAAGGTATTCATTGAGTCCATTGAACGATTTCGACTATATCATAATACCAAGCCTTCTTCAATATCACCCTCATGAAGTCCACTTTCACATAATATATAACGCTGGACTCTTAAAGATTGGTACCTTTCAATACGATGGAGCTCTCGACTGTCTGTTTCGCGATTCATCTCTGTTCTCTTCTGGTCACAACAAACCGGCACTCGATTACGGTCACTATCCCTACGCGAACGCCTTGCGTCGCGTTTGCGAACGAAATAGATTATTCTGAACAGTGCGCTTGTATCTACATCTTTCCAGTCTGTTTGGCTTTATACGTTTGTTGATTAGACACTGATTGATGGAAACAGTCAACACTTAAATCAAATATTTGGTACGTCAATCTACAACACATTCAAGCAGATGTATGTTGCATTAGGGGTCTACAAACCCACACAAAGCTGACAGTACCATGTTATCATTAATTACATGTATCTGGTTCTCTAAAAACTCCACGGTAATTTAATTTCACTGCTAATCTCGGAGTGATAACGTAACTCAATTAGCCTACCTTCATCCGAGTCGTAGATATACACAGCCTTCCTGCAACCATAGTGGTGCAGCAGGTCGACTACCGCCCCCATAAAGGACGGACGGACAAACAACTGGAAACCAGGCGTCGTCGTGAAGTTCTGCGTGGATCCGATGCTCACGAAGGGCATGTTAAAGGTGTTGCTGTAAGACTGGATGGTGGAAAGTGAGGAGGCGTTGGTCACACCGATGATGGCGACGACGTCTTTTGTTATCAGATCACACACTAAAACATAAGTGAGAGATTCTTTATGCCAATATCCTCACTATTAACAAAAACATTGATTGATAAAGTGAGCACCGTTTTCAGGATGCGATTACATACTGTGTCAGATAGGTCTGGTATACGAGGGGGCACGAGTAGTCCAGTCGTCTAATTAGAGGTTCAGAGTGGCCTCCCTTGAGCATGCCAGAAACCTATGATTGTGGGTTTGAATCCTGGTTCGCCCCGATTATGTTTCTAGGTTTGTCAGCACCATACCCATACTTGTGGGTTTCACCAAAGCGGTAAACGTCTGAGACCTGCATCACGTCCGGGCCTGCCTCCCTGTCAGCGGGCCGTAAAACCAGTTTAGTCACGGTCTAGTGACCGTACCGCTTCCCTCTCCCTTAATTGTCGGGCTTCCGTTATCATTCGGCAAAGTCCGGCGGTCATCGTTGACCATTGTCTTCACATTCATTGTCAGTGAATTGGTGACCGGTAAATTTTAATCTCCAGCTGAATATTCGCATACTTTTATCATGTATTGATTTGATATATGTGATGTTTGCTACCTTATTCATATATGGCATATGTTTCAGTAACACTGATTTGCGCGCAGTAGCGGGATTATCTAGTACTGGTAGATATTTCTCTTGTCTTTATGGTCACTTTTGCCACCTCAATAATTGTACATATATTGTTGTAAATCGTTAGTGGTACCGTTGGATAGCTTCTATTCAGCGCTTTATTTTGGTATCTGCATCTCCCATATTGGGTTAGTAGTTAGTTGGTTATTTGGGTTTTCCCTATGGTAGGAAACACACTTTGGTTACCTCACCCGGATATTGCATTCAGGTTGTCCTCTCCGAAGTCCGCGTACACGTATTTAACCCATATTGGTTTAGCCGTTCAGGCTTTCCATATCCGAGTGCGAAAGCGGCACGTCCGGAAGCGCTCGTTAAATTTCCAATATCATCGTCATTTCCCTATGTTTGAAAACACACTTTGTTTATCTCATCAGACGATTGCATTCCCCCTGACCCAGAGAGGTTGCTTTGTCCGAAATCCGCGTGTTTCATTTTAAACTCTTGGGGAAATGTATCGTTACCTCCACGTGTCGCGGGACTGTTTACGGGTCGTCATACTACTGGTTTGATCACGTCGAAACTTAGGTTTCGTTAGTAAGTGGTTTTGTGGCAGTTGTCTCTCTGGTACTGACTTATTCTGGTGGTATTGAACTGAAACTTATTTCCAAGGCTTTTATATTTCATGCCCCGTTTTTCAGGTAATCCGTGGATAACCAACTTTCCCGTGATTGCTTAGTTGGTGCTTAGTTTGTGCTTAGTGATAGGGAGTCAAGTTACTCTTTTGGTCAAGTACCTTTTTTAATGATTATGAGTCAAGATACTCGGTTCATGTAGGTCAAGTACCTGGTTTGTTTGGGGTTAGTTTTTTGGGGGGTGGGGAGTCTAGTACTTCCTTGGCCAGTCTAAGTGACTTAGACATTAGTCTATAAGAATAGTTTGCTATTCGGGCGTTTTTCGTCTGTTTTATTGACCAAGAGACTTGCTTTAGGGATGAGCCCTCACTGTTTATTTCTCCCAATACGGGGGCGGTCGGGTAGCCTAGTGGTTAAGGCGTTGGCTCGTCACGCCGAAGACCCGGGTTCGATTCCCGACATGGGTACAATGTGTGAAGCCCATTTCTGGTATCCCCCGCCGTGATATTGCTGGAATATTGCTAAAATAGGCGTAAAACCATACTCACTCACTCTCCCAATACCCTAACCCTGTTGAGGTTATTCACCGATTGGAGAGTTGACTTAATTAACTCTTAGTTGTTAATTGGCCGTAGTCGACTTAATTGGCTGTCTATGCCTCTTTCGGATTACCTTGTCAAAGTGTTGACTGAGGCACTCTCCTTTTTTATTGCTGTTATACATTTGGAAAGCTAGTCAGCTTGTATATTTGCTCTGATTTATTTAATCAGGGATCTTTCTCAGTGTAAATCCTTTATATTGTCGTCTATTGATACAATTAGCTGATGGTAAAAAACTGTGAACTTTTACCACGTTTTCAATTATTACTTTATTCTTGTTTAATGACACCCTGGTCCCAGGAGCTCCGTGACACGCCGTGACATAACTGGAATGTTGCTCAAACCCAACCCACTCACTCTCTCTTGTATAAGGGGTGTTCTCCCTGTTAGTCCAAAATAGAGTAAAATGCATATTTTGCAGCTACAGTAAAGTACGGTTATAACGAACTCAAAGGGACTACTAATCTTAGTTCGTTTTAACCGTAGTTCGTTATAAGCATATATACAGCATAACTACAGCAAATAGTCGGGACCAAACAAGTAGTTCGTTATATCCGTCAGTTCGTTTTAAGCGTGTTCGTTATAACCGTAGTTTACTGTATGTTTTTTCTCACTGGTATTGAGTTTATTCAGACTAAAAAATAATGAAAGCATGCATAGCATAGTCAAATAGTAAATATTGAAGTCGCATTTAAAATGTCAGAAAATGTTACATTATATGACATACAATCCATGTGTGTCTGAAGAATGAAATCCCATACTAGTACCTCCACACTAACAGTGTGGACGTGACTGGCATCGTTAGCCGACTGACATGCGCAGTAGAATCATGTTTTAGTGGGTTTCAGCTGTAATGTGACATTGCCCTACTCAAAAAGAATTTGTCTCTCGGGAAATACAGGGAACTCGATTATTGCTACGAAAACTTATAATGACACAGTAAGTAATTTGGCAAAACAACACAACGTGGCTATAAAAAAAACCGCAAGATGAAAGTGGGTTTCAAAAGGCCTGTTTACACAATGCAACTAGTTGTTACAATAACTGTAATAACTCCGCGATATCACGGTGGTGAGTCTCACACAACTTGAGATTCCTCGAGATATCTTCCCATCGCGGTCTTACGGTCGATCGTCATCCCTCACTTTATGGGTTCTATATTGGAAGTTGATTAAATGGCCACTGAAACAAATTTACCGACTCAGTTCGGAGTCTTCGTGGTTTTTTTTGTGTTTCGATTTGAGGCATGTTTCCACCGATCGAATGGAACAAGGGTTGGTTGGTTGGTTTGTTGTTTTACGCCGCACTCAGCAATATTCCAGCTATATGACGGCGGTCTGTAAATAATCGAGTCTGGACCAGACAATCCAGTGATTGATATCATGAGCATCGATCCATGCAATTGGGATCGATGACCTGCATCAACCAAGTCAGCGAGCCTGACCACCCGATCCCGTTAGTCGCCTTTTACGACAAGCATAGTCGCCTTTTACGGCAAGCATGGGTTGCTGAAGACCTACTCTAACCCGGACCTTCACGGGTCATGGAACAAGGGCATGACGTCTGTTTCATACTTAATGTTTCAAAGTTTTGTGGTAAATATATTGAGGACATTTCCAAATTTGACGCTGCAAAGAAAATGCAATTACCTATTTTGACTTGTATCATAATTATGTTCCCGGCTTTTCACAGAGGAACACTTGACATACCTTTGCATGTGTTTGTGACGGGTACTACAGCTGGGGCACGGATACGTTCACCTTTTCGCGAACACCTTTTAGCATCATCATTTGATAGTGGTTACATAGTGATAGTGAACACACGCTTATGGTACATTAAGAATCGTGCAATGTAGAATCATACATATGTTTCTAATGATTATGGAAAGGGTTTTGTTGCTAAGCTTTAAGATGTACAAGTTTTAAAATGTATTGCATACCGAATTGTCGTTCACGGTCATCGTATACGATAATTTGCAACGGGTAAAGGATCCTTAACACATGAATTTGACCATCAGTCCCGAGGAATATACAAACAGCCTTGCTTCCAATCTTAACAGTTCAGACCAATGTTACAAAGACTTTTTACTTATTCTTTGCCTTGTTAATGTGTCCTGTTGTTAGCTATGTATTTCCCGAATCCAGGCACCAGAACGAATGTCTGTTATACTTACTCTGCACCCTTTGTGACCAGCCTCCCCTACTTTGGAACAGCTAGCCACAACATCCAGAGACTCTTAAAGAAACAGGCCAACATTGATGTAGTTTTCAAGAGAAGCCACAACACTCAGAGCACAATTAAAGCCACGGGAAAACCACCATCCAGCCACAAGCTAGAACCATAAGGAGCAGTGTACCACATTCAGTGTAATTGTGGTCAGGCCTAAATTGGCGAAACAGCTAGGTCCTTCAAAACGCGTATTAAAGAACATCGAAACTCAGTCTCCAAAGATGACACTAAGTCAGCTCTATCAGACCATGGCCGTAACAACCCAAGCCACAGCATTCAGTGGGACAAAGACAAAGCCCTCATCACTAACCTCAAAGACTTCAAAATCAAAAAGCAACAAGAAGCCTTCAACATCAAAAGACTCCAACCATCAATCAACCGTGACCAAGGCTATTACATAACCCCGGCGTTCCATCAACTCATCAAAGACCCCAATCAGCCATAATCATGTAGTTTATATTACTGGCTTTATCCTTCAGTTTCCTTATATTACTGACTTCACCGGTCAATATATTTACCTTGTTGTGTACATAACATGCTTCTCCACTCCAGTGTAACTACATCTTAAATCTACTCTACTTATAAACACTGCATCCTACCTGTATATATACTTGTCAACCCTACTCTGTACATGACATACTAATAGTTGATAACGGTGTCAGAACCTACCCGAAACGTAGTTCCTAATTTTAATTAAAAAAAAACTTGTTCATCCATATAACTTAGTACTCCAACTTCTAAATGCCTCTCAAAGAAAATATCATACTTACACTCACTCGTGTGAATATCTGAATCAGCTGTCATGTACCGAATGATAATCATTACACGTTTAAGTGAGTGAGTGAGTATGGTTTTACGCCGCGTTTAGCAATATTCCAGCAATATCACGGCGGGGGACACCAGAAATGGGCTTCACACATTGTACATATGTCGTGAATCGAACCCGGGTCCTCGGCGTGGCGAGCGAACGCTTTAAC